GGCCGGCAATTTGCCCTGTGACCTCAATTCTCTGATGGATCTAAGAAGAGTCATTGGTTTTCAGTTTAGTCATATGTTTTTTATTTTTCTCTTTATGAAGATGGGAGTCTTAATTTCCAAGCCTTTTTTTTTACATGTTACACTAGAACAGTTTTTAAAATAGATACTTTGAGAGTATTTTTCATAGGCCAACATGTAGTTTGTCAATAGACTTCTATTTCTTTCTTTCCTTTCTCTTTGAATTTTACTTTTCTTGCCTTTTTGCACTGAATAAAGCCTCCAGTACAATACTGTATGTGTGCGGTGAGGAAGGACAGTCTTGCATCATTACCAGTCTTAGGAAGAAAGCATTTGGTTTTCCACAATTAAGTCTGATATTTGCTGCATGTTTTTCATAGACATCCTTCATTAGGTTGAAGAACTTCCCCGATTTTCTTGGCTTGCTGAGAGTTTTGATCATTTGATGTTGAACTTTGTCAAATGCCTTTTCTGTATCTGTTGAGATTACCGTAGGGTTTGTTTTTTTTCCCTTTAGTCTTTTGAGATGATAAATTACATCATTTTATGTTCAAATGATGAATCAAACTTCCTTTCTTGGAATAAACCCCACTAGGTTATTATCAGTTTCCTAGGCTCGTCATAGGGAAAGTGCCACAAACTGGGTGACTTAGTTAGAACAACGGGAATCTATGGTCTCAGAATTCTCAAGTATAGAAGTGTAAGATCAAGGTCAGCAGAGCTACACTCCACTTGAAATACATAGGAGAAGGGTCATCCTTTGCCTCTTCCAGCTTCTCGTAGCTCCGGGTGTTCCCCGGTTTGCAGCAGCACGACTCCACTTGGTACCTCCATGTTCACGTGGCATTTTCCTGTCTCTTCACATTGTCTTCTCTTTATATGTGTGTCTGTCTCTGTGACCGAAGTTCCCCTTTTCATAAGGATACTAGTCATACTGGGTTAGGGTCCACCCTATGACATTATCTCAATTTGGGTAACGCTGCAAGGACCTTATGCTGTGGTCTGAATGTTTGTGGCCCCCTCCCCCCAATCCATGTGTTGAAATCCTAAGCACCAATGGTGAGGATGTTAGCAGGTAGAGCCTTTGGGAGGTGCTTAAGCATGAAGGAGCCCTCACAAATGGGATCGATGCCTTATAAAAGAGGGCCCAGAGAGGTCCTTAGCCCCTGCCACTATGTGAGGACACAATGAGAATGCACCAGCTACGAACCAGGAAGGTGGCCCTCATCAAAACCAGCATGCTGGCACCTTGAGGTCAGACTTCCCAGCCTTCAAAACCATGAGAAATAGGGGCGCCTGGGTGGCTCAGTCGGTTAAGCCTCTGACTTCAGCTCAGGTCACGATCTCACAGTCCGTGAGTTCGAGCCCCGCGTCGGGCTCTGGGCTGATGGCTCAGAGCCTGGAGCCTGTTTCAGACTCTGTATCTCCCTCTGTCTCTGCTCCTCCCCCGTTCATGCTCTGTCTCTCTCTGTCTCAAAAATAAATAAACGTTAAAAAAAAATTAAAAAAAAAAACAAACCATGAGAAATAAATTTGTTTATGAGCTACCTGGTCTGTGGTATTTTGTTAGAGCAGCCTGAGCAGACTAAGACAACTTATTTCGAAATAAAGTCACATTCTGAGGTACTGGGGGTTAGGACATCAACGGATCATTTTTTGGTGTGAAGATGCAATTCAATGCATAAAAGTCATGGTGTGTAATCGTTTTGCATATTGGTAGATTTGATTTTTTGCTAAGGATTTTTATATTCATGCTTATAATGGATTTGACTTTGTACTATTTTTTTCTTGTAATGACTTTGGTTTTGGTGTCATAATGCAGTTTCATAAAATTTGGGGGAAACATTCCTTCCTCTTATTTTTCTCTGGCCGCTTTTAAGATTTCCTCTTTGTCTTTATTTTTCTGCATTTTCACTATAAATCCAAGTGTAATATTCTTGACTTACTTTGTTTGAGATGTCTTGGTTTTCTTGCCTCTGTGAAAAAGTCATAGCCATCATCTGCCAACATACTGCTTTTGCCCTATTTCTCTCTCTCTCCCTCTCTTTGTATGTGTTTTTATCTGCTTTTACCTTGCAGCACTACTAATTCTGAACCATCTTAAACTGACAGTACTTGAGATCTCTTGGCCAACTCTGATGATGCCAATTTGGGTTATTCTGCTAGGAAGCTCCCTCCCTCCCATCTCTCTCTGTCTCTCTCTCCTTTGTCAGAATTATACCAAGGCCCTGTGGGAGTGGTTGAATGGATAATGGGACAACATTCTTTCAACTTCACCCTGACCCTGAGATGAGTTTCTGTGACTATGACGTTTTCTCAGAGTCTCTGTCTTGGGCATGACCCGAGCCTTGCCTTACATAACCCCTGTTTCCCCACTGTTAATTTTGGTGTTAATTGGCACATTTCTTCAGGAGGAAGGTGCTTTTTGAATTTTTTACTTAATTCTCTTGAATTTTGTTTTTGATGAAAATTTGGCTTGATAATAGCTACTCGCTTGAGTAGTGAATTTAAAAAGCCTTAAAAAAAAAAAGTCACCATTTTAAGCTGTGTCAACAGAAAGTTCGGTCACAATAAGATGGCCTATGATTACCTAAAGCCTTGTTTTTGTATCCAGGTAAATCACTGCTTTCTACATCTTGTTTACCAGCTTTTCATTCATTTCTTGATAGGACATCTGGTCTCCTGCCTCAGTGATGACTTCTACGTGGGGCCCCAATAGTCCCTCTCTTTCCAAACTTCATAAACGATTTGCTGGTCTAGTAATGATTTTTTTTCATTATTCTTAAAGTCCAATGAACTTAACCAGGAAGTGTCGTGGAATTTGTGTTAGATTTTTCTTAGTTGTTTTGTTCTCATTAAAGAAGGATCTATTCTACTACGACTTTCAGTATTTTTGTTTCATGTTTTAAATTTCTTAAGGACAAGAAATATGCATACGTTGGATCCTTTGTCCCACATCTATAATTTTTCTCCAGTTCTTTATCATCTGTGCTCTTTTTCATTTCATTTTGCTTAGTTTTCATAGTCTGTGCAGGACATGCCTCTTTTCAGCTCTCTGTTATCTTAGTTGCTTCTAAGGTGGCTTTCCTTTTTCTTAAGATATTTCTCTTTCATTTCTTTTCTGAGCTCTTTCAGGTCACATTAAAAATTCTTCTGCAGTTTCATTATCACTTCAAAAAATAATTTAGTATTTCTATTTTTGACCTCTTGTTTCATAATGGCCATATTTAATTTCTTTTACAGGAAATGTATTTTCTGTGTGTTTTGTAACTTAATTCCTTTGATGTGCAAACAAGAATTTCCTTTGTCTTTTGTTCCTTAGGCTTTGTCATTTTTATGGGCAAAGAGCTGCATTACATTTTCATAGATTCTGTGTTGGCTCACTTTTTACTATTATACAATTTAATGGGGCCACTCTAAGAGACCAGTTATTTGCTGAAGAGACATGTTGGTGTGGTGAGAGGCACCTAGTGTGTGAGCCGGGACATTAAAGGCTCAGGCCTTTCAACTGGGGACACTTGGTCACCAGCACCCTTCTGTCAGGTAGCAGCAGGTCAACAGGCTCCCCCTTGAAGCCTGTTGATAGCCTTGAAGATCACACATGTCTAGTCAGGTGTTTAGAGCTTTATTTATTTTCATCAACAGCCCCTTAGTAAACTGTAACTCACCTTTTGTTTCTTTACCCTCACACATGGATGCGTTGTTAGGGAAACGCTTGAAGAGAAATAGCTCTCTTACTAAACATACAGTGACGGTGAGAAAGTTCTTGATCAAGGACTTGAATATCCCTATTAATCCTGCACTACAGGACCTTGGGCAAGTCTGAGGAAAACTGGGTACATGGACTCAGACATAAAAATGCTTCTTACTGTTGAGGGCACACTAGCCTCTATTTCTTGTCAGAAACAAATGAGACTTTCCTTGGCCCCTTGGTCAAAAATCTCACTTATTTTGGGGGTAGGAGATATCAAAATATACGTTACCTGGGTGAAGTTAATGGGGCCAGGAAGACTATTCAAGGCTATTTCAATAGAGGAGAGAGACTGAGCTCACCTTAACTGAAACAAAAGTGGGGGAGTTTTAAAAAGCTGGGGTGGGGGGCGCCTGGGTGGCGCAGTCGGTTAAGCGTCCGACTTCAGCCAGGTCACCATCTCGCGGTCCGTGAGCTCGAGCCCCGCGTCAGGCTCTGGGCTGATGGCTCAGAGCCTGGAGCCTGTTTCCGATTCTGTGTCTCCCTCTCTCTCTGCCCCTCCCCTGTTCATGCTCTGTTTCTCTCTGTCCCAAAAATAAATAAACGTTGGAAAAAAAAATAAAAAATAAAAAATAAAAAAAAAAAAAATAAAAAGCTGGGGTGGGGAAGGAGGAGGATTGTTGGCCACCTGTGTCTGCTAACTGGCTTTACCCAAAGAATAACTACATTTTCTCTTATCTTCATGACATGTGAGAATTTTACACTTCGAGCAAGGCACCCCCTGAAGTTAGGTTCCTACCCTACCATGAAATGGAGAATTTCTTTGATGATTACATTTCAGGGATCTCCCAGTTCCTTGAGAAAAGCTTTCCCATGGATCTTAAAGCTGGCAAGGGGCTTTTCAGGACATTTCTATACATTTCAAAGGGAGTAGAATAACAACATACAATCACCTTTTCCAAAGTAAATGCTTCACGTTAGTAAAAAGGAAAGAGAATTCAGGAGTAGAGACAAGAAGGCATCTATTTCCAATTTAGTCAAGCTGGGGGGAATGTTAAGGCCATCTTGGTCAGGGGGCTGCCCTCCGGTCATGGAGCTACTGCTCTTGAGCCAAGACACTCTCCCCTCCGCTTCCCCCAGCCCTATTCACCTTCTCCCCTCGCCCATTCTTTTTCTGAGGCCAGCTGCTGGGCCCTATCTCACTGCATCTTCCCCAGTCTCCTGCCCGGGCTGAGTGTCAGTGCCCACCCAGAGCCTCCAGGGCTGGGGAGGGAATGGGGATGTGGTAGCCATGAGGGAACCAGAACCGCCTCGCCAATGCAGGGTGACGGGAGGTCTTGGATGTCTGGTCCCTGGAGAAATGGATGGGACAGGTGAAGAACTGGAGGCTAGGAAAACAGTCTCCTCCTTGGGGACTCAACAGAGGTCCAACATGCAATGCACTTGATGCATTCCCTGGAGCCTGATTTCAGTTGCAATTCTGGGTAACATTCCTTTGCCTTCTTGTAGGACCTGTTGATTTCTCTTTAATCTGTCAGGAGGTGGAGGAAAAAATGGGCTGCCAACAGTCTCTTCAAGGATCAGACGTGTCCAAAGTCCGCACCATTTACCTCAATGAGCCCATTAGGAACAACTTCTGCAAAAACTCCATCAGGTGAGAAGTGTGTGTAGCTGGGAGGAGAGGAAGGAGGAGGATGTCGTCCTCACCTGCAAAATACACTTGGTGTAGATACTTCAGGCTGTAACAGTTGTCTCAAACCCTGAGAAACTTTGAATTCTCAAGTTCACTACCAAGAATAGGCTGTGTCTTCATCTCACTCTCAAGGTTTCTGTTTCTGAATTGGCCTCTGCTCTCACTTGTTCCTCCTGTTCATAGCAGTACCATGCAGCCCACTGCCAATCGAGAGTGCCCTTTAGCAATACCTAGGAGGTAAAAATGCTTTCCTTTCTCCCCCCCAAGGTTTTATTTAAATTCATGTTGGTTAACATATAGTGTAGTATTGGTTTCAGGAGTAGAATTTAACGATTCATCACTTACGTATAACACCCATGTTCATCCCAACAAGTGCCCTCCTTAATGCCCATCACCCATTTAGCCCATCCCCTCCCAAACACCTCTCCAGCAACCCTCAGTTTGTTCTCTACAGTTAAGAGTCTCTTGTGGTTTGCCTCCCTCTTGTTTTCATCTTATTTTCTTTTTCCTACACTTCCCCTATGTTCATCTGTTTCGTTTCTTAAATTCCACATGTGAGTGAAGTCATATGTCTTTCTCTGACTGACTTATTTCGCTTAGCATGATACATTGTAGCTCCATCCACATCTTGCAAATGGCAAGATTTCATTCTTTTTGATGGCTGAGTAACATTCCATTAAATACACATGTGCGCACATGCACACACACACACACACACACACACACACACACACACACACACACACACACACCTTCTTTCTCCATTCATCAGTTGATGGACATTTGGGCTCTTTCCACAGTTTGGCTATTGTTGACAGCTGTAACCATGGTGGTGCATGTGCCTCTTTGAATCACTACTCTTTGTATCCTTTGGATAAATACCTGGTAGTACAATTGCTGGGTCATAGGGTGGTTCTCTTTTTAACTTTTTGAGGAACCTCCATACTGTTCTCCAGAGTGGCTGCACCAGTTTGCATTCCCAAGGTAAATGCTTTGCAGTGGAACCTCACAGAGCTGCTGAGTTCTCCACCATTATCCTACATTGGGGAATTTAGCATTAGGCTTTTTTTTTTTTTTTTGATTGAAGTATACTTAACATACGGTGTTATATTAGTTTTCAGGTGTATAATATAGTGATTCAGCAATTGTATACATTACTCAGTGCTCGTTAGGGTAAGTGTGCTCTTAATCCCCTTTATTTCACCCATCCCCCTACTCATCTCCCTTCTGGCAACCACCAGTTATTTTTCTGTATTTAAGTTTCTGGTTTTTTGTTTGCCTCTTTTCTCTTTGTTGGTTTCTTATATTCACATATGACTGAAAAAATATAGTATTTGTCTTTCTCTGGCTGACTTATTTCACTTAGCATTATACCCTCTAGGTCCTTCCATTTTGATATATACCATACCTTCTTTACCCGATCATCTATGGACGGACACTTGGGTTCCTTCTATATCTTGCCTATTGTAAATAACGCTGCAGTAAACATAGGGGTTCATATAGCTCTGTGAATTTGTGTTTTTGTTTTCTTTGGGTAGATACCCAGTAATGAATTACTAGATCATATGGTAAATATATTTTTAATTTTTCATGAAATCTCCATCCTGTTTTCCATAGTGGCTGTACCAATCTGCATTCTCACCAACAGTGCATGAGGGTTCCTTTTCCTCCACATCCTTGTTACTGTGCTTTTTCATTTTAGTCATTCTGACAGGTGTAAAGTGATATTTTATTGTGGTTTTAATTTGCATTCCCATGATAATTAGTGATGTTGAGCATCTTTTCATCTGTCTGTTGGCCATCTATATATCTTCTTTGGAAAAATGCCTATTCAGGTCCTCTGCCCATTTTTAATCACACTAATTTGGGGGGGGGTTGAGGGGAATACATTTATATTTGAATAAGTTTACATACATAGGATGTTAACCCCTTACTGGATATGTCATTTGCAAATATCTTCTCCCACTCAGTAGGTTGCCTATTCATTTTGTTGATGGTTTCCTTCACTGTGCAAAAGCTTTTAATTTTGGTGTAGTCCCAATGGTTTAATTTCGCTTTTGTTTCCATTGCCAGAGAAGACATATCTAGAAAAATATTTCTACGTCCAATGCCAAATGGACATTTCTTTTAGGAGTTTTATGGTTTCAAGTCTTACATTTAGGTATTTAATCCATTTTGATTTTATTTTTGTGTATGATATAAGAAATTGGTCCAGTTTCATTCTTTTGCATGTAGCTTTCCAGTTTCCCAGTACCATTTATTGAAGGGATTGTCTTTTACCCTTTTATATTCTTGCCTCCCGTGTCATAGATTAAGTGACCAAATAGGTGTGTGTTTACCTCTGGGCTGTCTATTCTGTTCTATTGGCCTGAGTGTCTGTTTTTGTGCCAGTACCATAATGTTTGGATTACTATAACTTTAGTACCATAATGTTTGGATTACTATAGCTTTGTAGTACATCCTGAAATCTGGGAGGGTGATGTGTCTGGTTTTGTTCTTCCTTCTCAAGATTGCCTTAGCTATTTGGGGTCTTTTGTGATTTCATACAAATTTGAGGACTATTTGTTCTAGTTCTGTGAAAATGTTAGTGTTTTTATAGGAATTACACTAAATGCATAGATTGCTTTGTGTAGTATGGATATTTTAACAATATTGATTCTTCTAATCCATGATCATGAAATATCTTGCCATTTGTGTCATCTTCAATTTCTTTCATCAATATTTTACAGTTTTCAAAGTACAAGTCTTTCATCTCCTTGGTTAAGTTTACTTTTAGATATTTTATTATTTTTGGTGCAATTGTAAATGAGATTTTTTTTTCTTGATTTCTCTTCCTGCAGCTTTGTTATTAGTGTATAGAAACACAACAGATTTCTGTATAGTAATTTTGTATCCTGCAACTTTATTAAATTATCATTACTCATAGTCATTTGGTGGAGTTTTAAGGGTTTTTCAAATATAGTGTCACCTGCAAATAGTGACAGTTTTACTTCTTCCTTACCAATTTGGATGCTTTTTATTTCTTTTTCTTGTCTGATGGTTGTGGCTAGGACTTCCAGTGATCTGTTGAATAAAACTAGTGAGAGTGGACATCCTTTTCTTGTTTCTGATCTTAGAAGAAAAGCTCTTAGTTTTTCACCATTGAGTATAATTTTAGCTGTGGGTTTTTCATACAAGGCCTTTAATGTGTTGAGGTATGTTTCCTCTAAACCTGTTTTATTGAGAGTTTTTATCAAAAATGGATGTTATATTTTGTCAGTTGCTTTTTCTGCATCTATTGAGATAATATGGTTTTTATCCCTTCTCTTGTTGATGTGATGTATCTTGATTTGTACATATCGAACCACCCTTACATCCCTGGAATAAATTTTACTTGATTGTGGTAAATCGTTCTTCTAATGTATTGTTGGTTTTAGTTTGGTAATATTTTGTTGAGGATTTTTGAGTCTATTCATATCAGAGATATTGGCCTGTTGTTTTCTCTTTTTGGTAGTGTTTTTGTCTGGTTTTGGTATTAGGGTAATGCTGGCTTTGTAGAATGAATTGGGAACTTTTCCTTCATCTTTTATTTTTTGGAATAGTTTGAGAAGAATAGGTATTAACTCTTTTTTAAAAGTTTGGCAGAATTCATCTGTAAAGCTATCTGGTCCTGGACCTCTGTTTGTTTGGAGTTTTTTGGTTACTAATTCAATTTCAATATTGGCAATCTGTGTGCTCAGATCTTCTATTTCTTTCTGATTCAGGTTTTGAAGATTGTATGTTTCTAGGAATTTCTTCTAGGTTGTCCAATTTTTGGCATATAATTTCTCATAATATTCTCTTATAATCCTTTGTATTTCTGTGGTGTTGGTTTTTCTCCTTTCTTTTTCCTTTTTAAATTTTTTAATGTTTATTCATGTTTTGAGAGAGAGAGGGACAGAGTGCAAATGGTGGAGGGGCAGAGAGAGAGGGGGACACAGAATCTGAAGCAGGCTCTTGGCTGTGAGCTGTTAGCACAGAGCCCGATGTGGGTCTTGAACCCACGAGCTGTGAGATCATGACCTGAGCCAAAGTTGGTCACTTAATGGACTGAGCCACCCAGGCACTCCTCTTCTCCTTCATTTCGGATTTTATTTGAGTCATTTTTTCTTTTTCTTGATGAGTCTGATTATACTTTATCAACTTTATCTTTTTAAAGAACTAGCTCTTGATTTCATTTATCTTTATTGTTTTAGTCTCATTTTATTCATTTCCACTCTAATCTTTATGTTTCCTTCTTTCTGCTAGCTCTGGACTTAGTTTGTTCTTCCTTTTCTAGCTCCTTTAGGTGTAAGGTTAGGTTGTTTGGAATTTTTTTCTTATTTCTTGAGGTGGGCATGAATCACTATAAACGTCCTGCTTAGACCAGGCTTTGCTGTGTCCCAAAGATTTTGGAAAATTGTGTTTTCAATTCATTTGTCTCCATGTATTTTTTTGAGTTTTTCATTAGCAGCAATAAATGGTGTTGATGATGGGGACCCTGACATGATGTGACGAGAAGTCCACTTTACCTCTGTGTTCCATCCCAACAAATCACCTCACTCTGAGCAGGAGGAAAATGCCAGACAAGCCAAACTGAGGTCATCCTCATTGATCCATTGGTTGTTTAGGGGCATACTGTTTAGTCTCTATGGGTTTGTGTTTTTTCCAGCTCTTTTTTTTTTTTTTTTTTTTTTGTAATTGATTTCTAGTTTCATACCATTTTGGTCAGAAAAGATGCTTGAGATTATTTGAATGTTCCTAAATTTATTGAGACTTGTTTTGTGCCCTGATATGTCATCTAGTCTAGTGAATGTTCTACATGTACTTGAAAATAGTGTGTATTCTGTTGTTTTGGATGGAATGTTTTGTTTATATCTGTTAGGTCCATCTAGTCTGATCTGGTTCACAGACACTGTTTCCTTGTTGATTTTCTGTCTGGACAATCTATTAATTGATGTAAGTGGAGTATTAAAGTCCCCTTCTATTACTGTATTACTGTCAGTTTCTTCCTTTATTACTGCTAATGTTTGCTTTTTGTGTTTAGGTGCTCCTATGTTGGGTTCATAGATATTTACAATTATTATATTCTCTTGGTGGATTAATCCCTTTATCATTATGCAGTGTCCTTATTTGTCTCTTGCAATAGTCTTTGTTTTAAAGTCTATTTAGTCTGATTTAAGTATTGCCACCCCAGCTTTTTTTTTTTTTTTTTTTTTTTTTTTTTTTTTTTTTTTTTTTTTTTTTTTTTTGGCTTCCATTTGCATGGTATATGTTTTTCCATCCTTTCATTTTCCGTGTGTATGTGCCTCTAGGTCTGAAGTGAGTTTCTTGTAGGGAAGCTTATAAATGAGTCTTGCTTGTTTTTATTTATTCAGCTACCCTATGTATTTTGATTTGAGCATTTAGTACATTCACATTTAATTATTGATAGATATTTACTTATTGACATGTTGTTGTTTCTGGTTGGTGTCGTAGTTGTTCTCTGTTCCTTTATTCTTTTCTTGCTCTCTTTCCTTGTGGTTTGATGGCTTTCCTTAGTGTTATACTTGGATTTCCTTCTCTTTATTTGTTGTGTATCTGTTGTAGGTTTTTGATCTGTGGTCACCACCAGGATCAAATATATGACATCTTATGTATGTTGTAGTCTATGTTCATAGTTACTTAAGTTCAAACACATTCTAAAAGCACTAAATTTGGGGGTGCCTGGGTGGCTCAGTTGGTGAGGCATCTGACTTCAATTAAGGTCATGATCTCACAGCTTGTGGGTTTGAGCCCCACGTTGGGCTCTGTGCTGACAGCTCAGAGCCTGGATCCTGCTTTAGATTCTGTATCTCTCTCTCTCTCAGCCCCTCCCCTGCTTGAGCTTTGTCTCTGTCTTTGTCTCCCTCTCAAAAATAAACAAACATTAAAATTAAAAACAAAAGCATTTTTTTGGTATTTTTATATTTGTACATTTTTACACCCCTTTATGTTTTATGTATATAATGTCATATTTGACATTTTATTTTGTATATGTCTTAACCAATTTTCTGTAGATAACTGATTTTACTGCCTTTGTCTTTTAGCTGTCATACTCATGTATAAGTGAGTTATCTACCACCTTTACTATATGTTTGCTTTTATCTGTGAAAATTTTTCCTCTTACAATTTTCTTGTTATTATGACCTTTTCTTTCCATTTAAAGAATTTCCTTAAACATTTCTTGTAAGGTTGGTTTAGTGGTGATGAACTCCTTCAACTTTTGTTTGTCTGGGAAATTCCTTATCTCTTTTTCTATTCTGAATGGTAAACTTGTCGGATAGAATATTCTTAGTTGTAGGTTTTTTTTTTTGTTTTGGCACTTTGAATCTATCATGCTACCCTTTGGCCTGTAGTTTCTGCTAAAAAAATCACATGATAGATTTATGGGGTTTTCTTCTTATGTAACTCTCTGATTGTCTCTTGCTTTTTAAAAAATTCTCTTTATCATTACTTTTTTGCCATTTTAATTATTATATGTCTTGGTATGGACGTCCTTGGGTTCATCTGGTTAGGGACTCTCTCTGCATTCTGTATCTGGGTGTCTGTTTCCTTCCCCAGATTAGAGAAGTTTTCAGCTATTATTTCTTCAAGTAAGTTTTTTGCCCCCTTCTTTTTCTCTTCTTTTTCTGAAATCTCTATATTTGAATGTTATTGATGATGTCGCAGAGTTCCCTTAACCTGTTTCCATTTTTTATTATTGGTTTTTCTTTTTGCTGTTCAGCTGGGTTGATTTCCATTACCCTATCTTCCTGATCACTAATCTGTTCTTCTGCATCCTCTAATCTGCTTGTGGTTTCCTCTACTGTATTTTTAATTTCTGTTACTGAATTCTTCAGCTTTCACTGGTTTTTCACATTTTCTGTCTCTTTTTTTGAAGTTCTCACTGAGTTCATCCACTCTTCTCTCAAGTTCTCTGAGTATCTTTAGGACCATTACTTTGATTTTTTTATCAAGCATATTATTTTTGTTTCATTTTGGTCTTTTCCTATGATTTTGTCTTGTTCTTCCATTTGTGACATATTCTTCTGTCTCCTGATTTTGTGACTCTGTGTCTATTTCTATGTATTAGGCAGGTTGGCTATATATCCTGGACTTGAATGTACCGGTCTTTAATAGGAGTGGTGCCTATAGTGCAATCTCCGTTGGTCCCCAGAACAACATCCTCCAGGGGTGTCTCCCGTGTGGGCTGTCTTGCACCCTCCACTTATAGCTGGGCCTCAGTTATTCTTAGTTCAGACAGCTGCAATGACCCATTTTTTCTTCTGTTGGTGCACTGGACGGGGTTTGCTCCCTGCACTGTGGAGAGGCATGTCTGTGGCTACTGTGGGCTTGTTGGTGGGCAGGGCCGGCAGTCAGCCAACCTGTCTGCAGTTAGCCTTTCTGCCATAGCTGCACATGCACCCTAGGGCAGGGCTTGCTTTCTGCAGAGCCAGCCAAGACGCCTGGCTGCAGAAACTGTGGGCATGTTGTTATATGGGGTTATGTCTCCCTCTCTTCAGGGCAAGAGTCCCTTTGGAGCGGTGCCGGTCCCTGTGGGAGCTGCTCGCAGGGTCTGTTGGGCAGCAGCTGCTTTGCTGGGATGCCTGTTGAAGAATCAGGCAGGCCGGATGGGGAGGGTCCACAGGGGAACGCTGGGCTGGGGCACCTGATGCTAGAAAGGTGGATGAAGAGTGTTGCTGGCTCCCACAAGCATCTGGCTGTCTAGCCTGGGGGAAGGAAAGAGAAATGGCTTCTGCCAGCACTCTTGTTCCTGGAAAAATCTCATGCAGATTCCTGCCCCTCCAGGCACATGTTTTAAGATTAGTCAGTAAATCTTCATGTATACCCCATGTGCTTTTCAAACTGCTGCTTCTGTATTGGGCCTTGGGCTGGATTGTTTAGTATGCTGGCCCTTTAAGGGCAGGGACTCAGCTTTCCCTTGCTCTCTGGCTCTCCCACAGTTAAGCCTGATGAATTTTAAAGTTTTTGGATTGAAGCCCCACTGGCCTTCAAGCCAGATTTTATGGGGACTCATCAGTGTGGGTCCCCAGGGCTGGGGGTGCCCTGTGTGGGGTCACATCCTTTTGCTTTTTGGAACTTGTGCTGTCTCTCCCATTTGCGGTTAGCTGTGCTGGGGATTTGGTTCCCAAATGCAGCTCTGCCTTTCCTGCCCTTTTTGGTGTGGCCTCTTCTATGTGATGGAGCTGTTATCTCTGTGTGTTTGTGGGACAAGGTGAATTCAGGTTTCTCCTATTCTGCCATCTTCCCCAAACTCCTGGTCTTTCCGGTTATTTTTAAAAGTTTATTTATTTATTTTGAGAGAGAGAGAGAAAGCAGGGCGGGGGGAGAGAGAGAGAGAATGCAAGCAGAGGAGAGGCAGAGAGAGAGAGAGAGAGGGAAAGAGAATTTCAAGCAGGCTCCACACTGTCAGTGCAGAGCATTACGCCGGGCTTGATATTAGGAGCTGTGAGATCATGACCTGAGCTGAAGTCGAGAGTCCGAGGCTTAACTGACTGAGCCCCCCAGGCGCCCCTTTCTGATGTTTAAATGTAGTAGGTTCATTAGAAAAAAAGAAACACACCCGTGATGGTTTTCTTTGTCCGTGACGTGGCCTAGGCATTTGGGGGTAGATGGATTTCAGATAACTTTTAATGATAAAGCTCCCGGGAGGGAGAGAAGGGAGAAACATTGCTGGCTCTTGTTATCCTTGAACTATAAGACAAATGCTGATTAGGAGTTCTGTTATAAGAATTACAGGCCATTAGAAAATGTGGAATACCTCCTGCTTGTCTATTGTATTCGTAGTTCTTAGTTCCTGAGATGGAGAAAATTCTTTCTTTGTCCTGACATTGTTTTCAGGTAACAATGAGTGTTCAAAAACGACAAAAAAATCTTCAGAAAAGAGTCAGGGTTTTATAAGAATATTTTATCCACTTCTGGGTTTTCCTTTGGTGTTTTTAGAGTTCAGAGTGTGAACTGACAGTGGTAATTTTCTTTTTGCCTACAGTACAGCCAAGTACAGCATATGGTCATTCCTCCCTCGATATCTGTATCTGCAGTTTAGCAAAGCTGCTAATGCTTTCTTCCTGTTCATTACTATATTGCAGGTAATATTCCTGAACACATTACTGGATTATGCTTTTTTTAAAAAAGAAAAATGTAAAAAGCTCATTTAGCTGAAATAAAAATTGAACATACAGAATAAATTGAAACACGGCAAGAAGAGAACTCTCTTCTTACAATATTTAAGTTACTCAGTAAGACTTCGAAATTCTCATTTGGGGGATGAAAAACGTGTTGATGCCCAGTAGATGAATTGGCCCACAGTTCTTCCTGATTTAGATCATTAATGAGATATTATTGGACTAACTTTTATAATGTATGCCACCTCCATGAGAGGATAATTTTATTGTATTAAAAGAAAGAGTTTAAAGAAAGTCCAAATGCTAGTTTGAAATAGCTAATTTTCTTTTCTCTTCTTTTTTTAATATTTCAGTAAGAACACTTAATGTGAGATCTACCCCCTTAACAATTTTAAGTGTATGATATACCAGTGTTAACCATAGACATCTGTTGTACAGCAGATTTCTAGGACTTCTTAATCTTGCATAACTTAGACTTTATGCTCATTGAATAACAACTCCTTATCTCTCCCTCTCTCTAGACCTTGACACCACCATTTTACTCTGACTCCATGAATCTGGCTACATTAGATATCTCACATAAGTGGATTCATGCAGTATTTGTCTTTCTATAGCGTACTTCATTATAATGCCTTCAAGATTCATCCATGTTGTTACATGTGGCAGAACTTCCTTCTTTTTATAATTTTTTTTAACATTTATTTATTTTTGAGAGACAGAAAGACACAGAGCGCGAGCAGGGGAGGGGCAGAGAAAGAGGGAGACACAGAATCCGAAGCAGGCTCCAGGCTCCGAGCTGTTAGCACAGAGCCCAATGCGGGGTTTGAACTCACAAACCGCGAGATCATGACCTGAGCCAAAGTTGGCTGCTTAACCAACTGAGCCACCCAGGTGTCTCAGAATTTCCTTCTTTTTAAAATCTGAATAATATTCCATTGTATAGATGCCACATTTTCTTTATCCACTCATCCATCGACAGACATTGATGTTGTTCCCATATCTTGGCTATTGTGAATAATTCTGAGCTGAATGTGGGAGTGCTGCTATCTCTCCAAGATCCTGGTTTCAACTTTTGGATAAATACCCAGAAGTGGGATGGCTGAAGCATATGGTAGTTCTATTTTAATTTCTTTGAAAAAGTTCCGTATTATTTTCTGTAACAGCAGCACCATTTTATATTCCCAACAGAAGTATACAAGGATTCCAATTTTTTCACGTCCTCACCAACACTTGTTATTTTCTGTGTTTAATTAATAGCCATCCTAACATGTGTGAGGTGATACCTCATTGTGGTTGTGAATTTCATTTGCCTGGTGACTAGTGACATTGAGCACCTTTTCATGAACCTCTTGGCCATTTGTATGTTGTCTTTGGAGAAATGTCTATTCAAGTCTTTTGCCCATTGTGATTGGATTATTATTATTATTTTTTTTTCCTGTTGAATTGGAGTTCCTTCTATATCCTTACCAGATGGAAGGTTTTCAAATATTTTCTCCTATTTTGTAGTCTGCCTTTGCATTTTTTTGATGGTTCCCCTTGTTGTGCAGAAGAATTTTAGTTTGATGTAGTCCCACTTGTCTGTTTTTGCTTTTGTTGCCTGTGCTTTTGGCGTCATATCCAAGAAATCTTTGCCAAGACCAACGTCTGGAAGCTTTCCCTCTGTGTTTTCTTTTAGGAATGACATCTTTTCAAAACACTTAAATTCAAGACCTTCCATAATCTGGTTTATTCCTGTTTCTTCAACCTTGTTTTTGTCATGAACCCTACAACCCAACACAATCTGAGAGGCAAGTCTCCTCACAATTCTTCAGTTTTCTTCCTCTCTTTAGACCTTGGTTCATTCTAGTCTCTAACCCAGAAGGCACTCATCTGGCTATACCCCACCCATTCTCTTAAAGGCATAACTCAAAACCATCCCCCTCCAAACTCCACTAAATGTCATGTCCCATGCTAATTTCTCCCTCCCTTATCTTCTGTAGCAGTAATCTGTGCTATGCATTATAATTGGTTTTATTTCTCCTGGCAAACTGCAAATTCCTTGAGAATAGAAACAGTGCCTTCAAGGGACACCTGGGTGGCTCAGTAGGTTAGCTGTCCCACTTCAGCTCAGATCATGATCTCACAGTTGGTAAGTTTGAGCCCTGCATTTGGCTCTGTGCTGACGGCTCAGAGCCTGGAGCCTGCTTCAGATTCTGTGTCTTCCTCTCTCTCTGCCCCTCCCCCACTCACGCTTTGTCTCTGTCTCTCAAAAATAAATAAAAACGTGGAAAGAAAGAAAAAAAGAAAAGAAAAGAAACAGTGCCTTCAAAACAGCCAAGCTCTTTGAGATAAGAATTTAATGAATCTGTTGAATTGACCTTAAACAGAAGATTGGCATTAGCAAAAATTTATAGAGATCACATAGTGTGTACCAAAACCTGGGCATGAAATTAATAATTCAAGGATGAATTGTCAGACGTAGTTCTCCCTTTGGAGAGCGGGTAGTCTTAACATACAAGTGCTTTAAGAAATATTTATAAAGTGCTAGGGGAACACGGCCTACTCTGGGCTTGAGGGCGAGTGGTTCAGGAAAAGGTACTGAAAAAGAAGACATTTGAGCCAAAGACTAGAGAATGAGGAGCTCAACAGTAAGTAGAGGTCAGTGGAAGAAGAGAAGACCTTTGCGGCACAGAAGACCGTGTGAGCAAAGGCACAGCAACCGGAAACACTGGTCGCCTTTTGTGAGAACTGGGGACCCAGTGGGGGAGGGAAAGAGGTAGGCTTTTCTCCAAGAAGGTCTTATATGTTTTGCATTGTGAAAATTTAAAGTGTTAAAATTTTCTCTAGCATGTGAAATGTTCTGGAAATGGTAAAAATTTTGTCTGGAGTGTAGAGAAGAAGCTAAAGATGTTGGCCGAGGCCAGGTAATGAGAAGCTTCGTGAGCTACATTCAGAAGCTTGGACTGTAGTGAGAAGGCAGTGACAGTCAGGAGCTACAGTGAAGTGACCAGCTCCGGCGAGGCTTTAACTGAGGAAAAGAGAGAGGGGGGCCTGGGAGCAACACGACGGGCTTGGGGTGCACTGCAGAGAGATGGAGAAGTCAGGCAGAGGCAAGTTATTTGGAAGGCAGGTTTCATTGATAGCCTCAGCGATCCTAGAACCTCTCCCTTTCTTCCTCTGTGTCTGACTGCTTTTAAAGTAACCACAAGAATTATTGAGCGCTTCAGAATAGATACTCTTTGGCTGCACAAAGAAATAACAAGCAGGAAATAAGGCAGCATAGAGAGTATCCACTCTCTAGACCCAAGTCTAGAAATACAGGCCTGAGAGCTGTTCTAAATCTGTTAAAGGATCTCCTTTACAACCTCATCTACCCTTGAGTCCATCAGAAAACTGCCAGTCTTCTTGTCACTTTATTTCTCCTATCTTTAAACAGTGGGGCATAGCCCCAGAGCCCTCTCCACAGGTAATTTGTACCCAAGCAACGTTATTCTCCCAGGCCTCCAAAAAATTTCTCTTCCGCCTCAAAAAGAAGCAAGATTCGGTTAAGATAACTGACCTTCTGGCTTTAACTGTTTGGAAAGGATGCTATCTTAGACAATTAAGTTTTGAAAGCTTCAAATACAGTCAGCTTCAGAATACAGTCCAAGCCTCTGAATTCAAAACATAATAACAGTATTCTCTTGGGAAGGTGACATATGACTGAAGCGTTAAGTAGGCGCACTGGTGGCTTTCCCATAATGTAATGTTTCACACCATGCTCGAGGGATGGTTTCGATGTGCTAAGAGTCTCTTTCCCCTTTTTATTTGACACCGTGTGTTGTTTTCATGTTCTGGGTATGCCACGAGTAGCCTGGCTTTTAGCGTTAAGCAAAATACAAGAAAAATGTATCATAGAATTCATAGTGTAACTCTGTTTTCGCAGCAAATTCCAGATGTGTCTCCAACGGGAAAATATACAACTCTCTTGCCTTTGATGATTATACTTACCATTTCAGGCATCAAAGAGATTGTAGAAGATTATGTAAGTTTACTGTTAGTGAAATGTTCCCAAAACTATTGCCTTGAGTACATGAGGTATATTTCTTGCTCTTTTTCCTAGCTGCGTGTTTTGCAACTGGTATAATTCTTTAAACCTGTAGTTGATGTGAAATGTGAATTAAACTCTGAGGTTTCAAATTTTAAAGTGTGTGTGTGTGTGTGTGTGTGTGTGTGTGTGTGTGTGTTTGAGAAACCAGCAGGACTTAATAGTGGTCATAAGAACTATGATAGTATCTTTGGGGATATAATGCAACCAGAGGTGAAGATCCTAAGAGGTCAGGAATTGTGCAGTGACTTCGTTTCTCCTTTAACCTTGTCAGAGCTATAATTTCACGAGAGCTGCAGGTTTTAGCTGTGAAGGAAAAGAAGAGAGACATTTAAGATTGCTTTCTGTTAGCTCTGACCCTACCTCATAAAGACAGCTGGGCCACTCCAGTAGAGGCCCCTTCGTCCTCACTCACAATCCTCATGCTCATTTCCAAAATTGCTAACTATTTGTTATTCATATTCTTGTGCCGAATTCCTTCATATCTTATTAAGATAGGACATCAGGAAAATCTGTTTGGTTGCTGGTCTTTTGATTGGTTTATAATATGAAAGAATTTCTCAAACTTGATTTAAAGCCTTGGGCTAAATTGGAGCGAAATCCACGATTGCTACTTATGTGTTTAACTATAAATATAGTCATTGAAAGCAACCTATAATGTGCTAACATTTTCAGTAGCATTCATGATGTAGGAGGCCCTGTAAAATGTGCGTGTGCGTGCGTGTGTGTGTGAGCGTTTGCATGTGTTCACTTAAATGGAGCCACGGACAGGTTAGTGACCTGTGAAGCCTGCATTAGCAAAAGGCAGAGCTGGGATGTTAACCAAGGCAAGCCGTCTCCCGAGGCCACACTTAGCCCCTCCCTTAGATGACCTCTCATTTAGGAGAGTCAGATAAGGGCAAAACAAAGAAGAGACTGACAGGTTTGCTGCCTCTGTTCTTTCTTAAACCTACTGTGACTTGTATTATAATGTGAATTATTCACTCTGAACTTCCGATGTAATGGATTTTTTTTCTATAACAGAAACGACATATGGCAGACAGATTAGTCAACACAAAGAACACAATAGGTAAGATACTAGACTGAGCTTTTATCTCTTCTCACTGTAAGAAAATACCCAAATTGACCAAATAGATACACATACTGTGTTTCATAACGTTCTATTATTTAAAGGAATAGAGACACAAAAAACCAACAACCAGAAGGAAGCTGTTGCCATATGTAAGAATCATCAATTATGTTAATTAGGATAAAAGAAAAGAAAAGAGATGGGAAGTTGGAATATTTGGGATATGAGCAATTCTTATGTCAATAGAAAAGATCTGGAGGGGCACCTGGGTGGCTCAGTCGGTTAAATGTCTGACTTCCACTCAGGTCATGATCTCATGGTTCAGGAGTTTGAGCCCCGCGTTGGGCTGTGTGCTGACAGCTCAGAGCCTGGAGCCTGCCAGATTCTGTGTCTCCCTCTCTCTCTCCCTCTCAAAAATAAACATTAGAAGAAAAAAAAAGATCTGGGTGTTACATAGTCTCTCCCAGTCCTAGTTTTGATATGTGCTATCTTGATAATTGATTAGAAATATAGGTTATTTTTTGGGCTATCAGCCAGTATTTTAGCATGTAGCAGCGAACTTTTCAGGAGTGGAAGTAACTTAACGTAGCTTCTACCTGTCATCTGTCTATACTTATGTTACATTATATTATACATATTGCTCTATTTTGATGCAGTGTGTGTGAACACAGTTTACATATTTTTCTACTTTATGTCAAGGTTAAATTAATAAAGACAGTACCTTGTAAAGAAACACATTTAGATTTTTGGAAAAGTATCTTTTATTATTTTGGACTTTACCTAATACAATTGTTACAGTTAATATATAGCTATATGTTTTTCAGTGTTCAGAGAGAATGAATGGCAAGTGATTATGTGGAAAGAGGTAAGAACGTATTTGAACTTTTAACTTAGTAAGAAGTGCCTACCATATATATTTATTTATTATTATGATTATTTTTTATGTTTTATTTATTTTTGAGGGAGAGAGAGACAGAGCATCAGTGAGGGAGGGGCAGAGAGAGAGGGAGACACAGAATCCGAAACGGGCTCCAGGCTCCGAGCTGTCAGCACAGAGCTCAACGTGGGGCTCGAACTCACGAACCGCGAGATCATGACCTGAGCCGAAGTCGGACGCTTAACTGACTGAGCCACACAGGCATTCCTGGCGCCTACCATATTTAAAGTTACAGACTTTTATCTATGAAACATGATGAAGGAAGTAGAGGATCAAAGAGAATTAAGTATATTTTGCTCAAGGTCACACAGCCCACAAGTGGCGAAACTAGGATTTGAATTGAAGTCTAAGTGGTTGCAAGTCTACGTGCTTCCTAATGTGCCTCTGGGTTACTTCTGTGTCATTTCCTGGAATATCTAAAGATGATGCTTCACAGACTGTTGCTCAGGGTAGAAGGCAGCCTTTGTATGGAGACTACCTCAGGGGATGTTTCCGTGAATATATTTTCCTTGGGATATAAATAAAAGGCATACTTTTATTTATAGTCGGGCTAGATACCGACTCTGTCCTCATCAATAATTAATTGCTGAGGCGCCTGGGTGGCTCAGTTGGTTAAGCATCCGACTCTTGATTTCGCTCAGGTCATGATCTCATGGTTCGTGAGATCCAGCCCCAGGTCAGGCTCTGTGCTGACAGTGAGGTGCCTGCTTGAGATTCTGTCTCTCCCTCTCTCTCTCTCTGCCCCTCCCTGGCTTGCACCTGTGTGTGCTGTCTCTCTCTCTCTCCCAAAATAAATAAACTTAAAAATAATAGGAATTAATTGCTGACCAGTGTAAAATTCCTTTGAAGGCTAATTATAAGAATGTTTTGATTTCTAAGTATCAGTATTTCTTTCCCTAAGAGAGATAAAACAGTCATGATTGCATTTTGCTCCTCTCATTGAGACGAAGAGAACAAAGCCACTGACAGAGCCACTCCATTCCTGATGGCAGAATGTCAGGGGAGAAGGACAAGAGGAGAGGAGTGAGGCTCCAGCGGGTGGGCGGGGTGCTTCTCTCAGAGCAGAGGCGACTGCATGATTGACTTTTAATTTACCCCCAGTGCCTTCCACTGGAAAAGCAAGTCAAATAGCTAGAGCCAAGGCCCAGGAATTGTTATCTCTCTGACTCCTTTTATACCTGTACAATCAAATGGAGCACTCTAAATATCGGGCTTACAAAAGGAAAAGGGAGTTGATTTGGAGGTACCGTGGGCAAAACAGAAAGAGAGCTTGTAAGACACGACCACCCTTAGGGGAATGACTGCCTGCTGTCAGTTCCATGAGTGCATAATTTTCGGGGTCACTGTTGTTCGGGGTGGGGGGGGGGCAGAAATCTAATTACAAAGTTTCAACTTGTCTCAGTCTAGCCATTGTTAGATCTTATTGTAAATTAGTCGTTTATGTAAGTTACAAATTTATTGTTCACTGCATTGTGAATTTTTATGTAATATGTAAGTTGTGAATGTTTATTTGTCAATCTGTTTTTCTCCCCTGCTGTTGCACGTGTTCTCTGCATTTGTAGACACATGCAACTTTTAAGGTTCTCTCTTCACTTTGATATGGAAGTATTTAATTAACCTTTGCCCAATTAATGAAGGTAGACATGATCTGTGTGATCATGCCATAAAAAGGAAAATAGTCTCCTTTTCTCTTCCTCTTCAGAAGAAATTACTATTATTTTTTCCAACATAGTTCTAGAAATCGGTTTATGAGAAAATTTTGCCCTCTGCCCCTCTGCATTTCTAGCTGCCCAGGAAGGGCCTGCCACTTTTAAGACTAATGTCCTCAATACTTAGCACCGTGGAAATAAATGCTCAAGGGGTTTGTCAAAGAAAAAGTACACAAGAAGAAAGCATCGAGAACTCATATTGTTTTCCCTCTGTATTGTTCCTAGTATTTACATCTCTCTCCTACTTACAAGTTGGAATTCATTTATACATTCAGCCAACAAATATTTATTTATTTGTTCATTCATTCATTCACTCATTCATTCCCTGTTCCACATAAAGTTCACAGACCAGCAGAGAAAAACACATCATTAGGCAAGCAGTTAACAGCGTGATGGTGTATGAACAGCGTATCATGGGAAAAATACTAGTACCAGTAGGTCTGTTTGGATTTCTCAGCCTTGGCAGAGCTTACATTTTGGGCCAGAAAATTATTTGTTGTAGGGGCTGTCCTGTGCATTGTCGAATGTTTAGCAGTATCCCCGGCCTCCGGGCACTTGATGCCAATAGCACGACCCCCTAAAACCCCAACATCGTGACAACCAAAAATGTCTCCAGACATCGCCAAAGGTCCCTGGTGGAGGGGGAGGGCAAAAGAGACTCTGGTTAAGAGCAACTACTTTAGAGGAATGAATCCCTGAAAAAATAAAATTGTTCTAATGTAGCCGAAGTTTCTTAGCAGGGCTTCAGGATTTTCTTATCAGAATTTTTCTTAAGAATATTTGACATGTTTTGCTTCTATCTGTGCTTTTAGAATTTATGCTTCGGTTGTTTCTTTCCCGGTTTAAAAGGTCAAGGTGGGTGACATTGTGAAGGCCTCAAATGGACAGTTCCTTCCTGCAGACATGGTTCTGATTTCTTCCAGGTTAGTCACGTTGGTGTGCATTTAAGGAACTTTTATTCTGAATGAGAAATTTTAAGGAAAACAAAGGCCTACCCTACTCACCCCTTTCTCCATCCATCTCTTTATAGGATAGACTAGCACCTGCAAAGTTTTACTGTGAAAGGACTCATAGTAAATATTCTCAGCTTTGGGGGCCATGCAGTCTCTGTTGTGGCATCAGAAATCGCCATAGGCAACATGTAAAGAAATAGGTGTGGCCGTGTTCCAATAAAACTTTATTTATAAAGAGAGGCAGGGCTTGGATTAGGCCTGTGGGCCATAGTTTGCTGACTGCTATTCTATACTTTTATTATCTTTTTCTTTAATTTCCCTGGGCATATTTTCTTCTTTCCTAATTGTTAGATTAATTCCATCCCTTCTATAATTTCTACAGACGTTCAGCAAAAATTCGAAAAATTTACACCGGTCTTATTTTAATCTTATGGCAATTCTGAGATGTTCCCATTCTATAAACAAAGTGACTCGCACAGAGAGTAAGTGATTTTTTTGGTACCATTAAGTGGGTTCATATGAGACCCAAATTTAAAAACACAGCCTCTGGTCTCTTTGTAGAACTACATTGCTTTATTCACTGGCTGTTTTAGAGGAAACTTACACAGAGACTCCCTGCAATGGGTATTTCCTTCCCATCAGGTGGCGTCTGACCACCTCCCTCATGCTTCTGTGTTGTCCCTCCTGGGTTTCCTCCTTCTTGTTCTCTGAAAGGAGAACATAGTCTAGGGCATCTGTGGGTAAGAGTGGCTATAGTCATAAACACAGCTGCACTTGACATGTTGGGTAAACTGGTTTCCTAGATAAGTCATAGTCATCTCAAGGTAAAAAAAAAAAAATTTCCTAGCCATCTAGACACATGTCACTCTGCAGCATAGAGAGATTTCTTGGGAAGAGAAGCAGATTTGTTCTAGAGCTATTGTCCAAGCTTCTTGAAAAGCAGTAATTCCAACATTAGTTCTTTTTCCTACCAGATGCACTTTGTTCTTTTGTCATGGTTGCATTAACCCACTGGACAGAGGAACTTAACTGTTGCTGATGTGTTTCTCTTTTGGGTTTGGTTAGGGTTATGGGGTTGACATAGGAGCCAGAGATGTACCATAAAGTGTTTTGTTTTTATAACCTCTACATTATTTGTTTGTGTGACTTTCTTTACCTCTTCCTTTCTCTCAAAAAAGTACTACTTATATAGAAAACAGTATTTTTTTGGAGTAGGAGAGAAGTAAGGGGGGGGAGGGACAAAAATATTCTTGGACTTTTTTCTGGCAATTTTATAGATTATATTTTCTAAGTATTCACCCTACCCCTGCTAAACAATTCAGATACACACATGTGCACGCACATGCACGCACCTGCGCATGCGCGCGCGCGCGTACACACACACACACACACGCGCACACACACCCCCCAGTGCTTATTTGATTGGGCATAAAAGTAAGAAAACCAGATTGAAGCCAAGAATGAACTGAGAATCTTGGAAGAATCTTCCTAAGTATCTTGGAAGGTAATCGTGTGCCAATATAGGCTTTTCCCCCAAGGGTTTCTGCCAAACCATGAAGACCATAAGCTTCCATTTTGCTGAGCTTAGTGAGTACAAGAGACAGGGATAAAGCCCGGGGGACACCCCTATGTGGAGAACTGGGTAGGGGATTCTTGCATAAAGTTGAGAATTACAATCTTAGTTTAGGTAGAATGAAAAGTAAAACCCGCCATGCTGTAGGGGCAATAGAGAAATGTGCTTGCCTTGACTTTGGCACAGAGGGGAGGGGAGACGTTCCCTGTGAGAATTCAAGCTGACTCATGCAGATATGATCTCTGAATTCACCTGGCCTGTGGGGTGAAGAGATTTTAAGAAGAGAATTTAATGTCATCATGGAAAATAAAGAAAAAAACCTCTAATTAATTAGAAGGAGATAAAACAGAGAAAAGAAAAGGCAACGGTCCAAAAGATAATGGCTGACAGGTTTTCAGAATTGTTGGAAGTCCATCCCTTGGATTCACTGGGTTTCCTGGATCTGAAGCTAGAAGTAAATAATAGGAAGCATCAGAGTCATTGAGAGTGTGATAATTGGAATTGTGTTTGTATTGTTCAGAATGAGGATGAAAATACCAATTGGCTAGAAACCTTAAATTCTGGATTATTTGTGTAAAACTTTAATATCTAAAAGATTAGACATAGAGGATATAACTTCCAGCCATATCAAGGGGAAAGATTATTTGAGCAGAAGGAAAAAGCCCTCAAAGGTAACTAAAAGAATAGAAAAAAGAGGCAAAAAGAGGGAGAAACAGAATGCACATAGTCAGGTAGTAGAATAAAGAAAAATATATCATCAATTATAATTAAAGCAAATGGATTTAAGAAGTTAAAAAGAGAAGGTTATAAAATTATCCAGCTATATGTTTATAAGAAATTCACAAAACACAAGTGCTCACAAAGATTAAAATCAAAGGATGAAAAAATACACACAGAAAATAGTAAAAGAAGTCCAGAAGAGATGGTATCACTATTAGATGAAATAGGTTTTGAGGCAAAAAGCGTTGAGGTAAAGTCTCATTGAAGAAAAAGAAAAGAGCCATTGCACAATAAAAGTTTTAATTCATGGAGAAAAGAGGAAACTTATACATCTACAAGAAACTTACAAACCCCACATCATACTGTGATGTTTTAATATTTGCTTTCAGGAACTGATCAAATGGAGAAGAAAGTCCATATGGAGGTAGAATACTTGAAAAGCACAATAACAACCTTGAAATAATGGCATGTATAGAACAGAACTTTTTGGTGTATTATACCAAAAAGTGATGTATACATAATCTTCAAGCACAGTTAGGAATATATGTCAATATATTCTGTCATAAGACAGAATCAACAGATTTTAAGAGGCTGGTATCCCACAGGCCACCTGCTCTGACCACAACGCTATTAAGTCAGAATTCAATAATAAGATAACTAGGAACCTTATGTGTTAGAAATAAAACGTACCTGTAAATCATGGGTCAAGGAGGCAATCATAATGGAAATTGGAAAATACTTAGATTTTAGTACTTATGAGAATGCATCAAATCTCCTGTGTTATAACTAAATTTATAGACATTTTCATTACAAAAGAAATAAATGCAAAAAAAAAAAAGAGCTAAGAATCAAAAGAATAAACTCAAAGAAATCAAACATAAGGAAATAATAGAGATAAGAGTAGAAATTAATGGGGTGCCTGGGTGGCTCAGTTGATTGAGTGTCCAACTCTTGATTTTGACTCAGGTCATGATCCCAGGATCATGGGATCGAGCCCTGCATTGGGCTCCGCAGTGAACATAGAGCCTGCTTAAGATCATCTTTCTCTCTCCCCCTCTGTCCCTCCCCACCTCTCTCAAATTTAAAAAAAAAAAAAAGAGTAGACATTAATGAAAGAAAAACAGTGGAGAAGATGAAAATGGGCAAAGCTTGCTTCTTAGAAAGAGACTAATAAATGAAAGTTTGGTAAGATTAATCAAGGAAGAAAAGGAAAGGCACAAATACGTGTTTATTTGTTTAAAAATTGAAAATTTGATATAATTATAAATGCACCAGAGATTAAAGAGAGGATCTTATGAAAGTTTTATGATCTTGTTTTAGCATTTAAGTGAAATGCATAAACCCATAGGAAAATATAATATACCAAAACTTATTCTAGAAGAGATATAGAGCCTGAATGGTCCTATAATCATTAAGGATATTATATAAGTAGTAAAAAACCAAAACAAAATGAAACCAAAAAAACACATAAACTTCCCACAAAGAGACTATCAAGACCAGACACTGTAACTGTCAAATTCTATCAAACATTCAGTGTAGAGAAAATACCAATTTTCTAATAAATTCCTCAAAGAAATACCAAGAATATGCTCTAATTTTCTGAAACTGGCATAAACTTGACACAAAAAAATTACCAAATACAGAATGAGAAAGGAAACTGACAAGTCCATTTTGCTGCTAATTTTAATATAAAATCTTAAAACCTGACAGTATAAAAGATGGTAATATGTAATGATCAAATGGGGTTTATCACAGGAATGTATATATTTTTTTAATAATAAGGAGTCTGACTCCATTTTTGGATCTTTGCTGACAGCTTTTAAGCCTCCTTTCCTCTTCCCCTTCTGCCCCATGTCTAGACTGGCTGACAGAAAAGCCTGCGTGCTGCCTCCTTCGGCACCTGCAGGAGTTTCAAATCATGTAAGCCTCTGCTTGAGTGAGGGCTTCCTCCCTGACCACCAAAAAAGCCCCACCCCTAAGCCTGTCTCCTTTACCTGCTCTCTTAAGGCATTTCTGGATCAGCTTCAAAGGTCTGCCCTCTTCTCCCCAGAAAACCTCATTATGTATGTAATAAATCTTCCCACCCTTTTGGTGTGTTTGTGGCATCATCAGTTTTGACACTCAAACCAAATTTTGGGTGGGTGGCTGGCTGGCTGATCCTGCTTCTAAAGGGTAACCACAACAATTTTTTTTTTCTTATTAGGAAATCAGTTGACTTTTAAATAAGGAGGAAAAAGTTACAACCAAAAAATTTATATATATCTATATCTATATCTATCTTTTATATTTACTTACATAGTATATATATGGTCATATATATATACTGTGTATATATATTATATATATATATATATATATATA